CAACATGATGTAATCAGTGAAGCAACCTTCTTGTCCCAAATTTGACCAAGTTGAAAGCCAATAGGAGTTCAACACTACCAAATGGCTCCTCTTGACACTTAACAAGCAATGACTCAAACTTGAAATTAGTATTCAAAACCACAGACTCCTACAAGGCTCTTACAAGTCAATCAAGTTAACAGAAAAACACAAGATCAGATATAATGAAACTATCCAGTACCTAACTTACTGCAACATGACTTCGTGTTTTGAAGAATACATCCTGATTTCTTTGACATAGACCTTTACTAATCTGATTTATTATACGATTTTAATAGGGCAATTCAAATCAGATTCAGATCTTTCTTCATGGATTTATTATGGCCAGTCTAACTTAATTTACTTTTACTGCTAACCGGCCCTAAAACTACCCCATCCAGCAATGAGAAACTACCCGAGCAAAGCAGCAAGTCAAATTTTATTATGCTAAAAGCCTTGAACTGAGGATAATAAAACAATTCATCAAAATGATTCGAATGAAATCTCTATTCCATGCAGCAGGTCAAAGCTAACACATTATGAACAACCCAGAAGTGATAAAAATGAAATCACAGGAGATTAGTCCTATTTAAGCAATCCATAAACAGGGAAAGGAAACCAACCAATGATGGAATTTCCTTATCCAATTGGGCCTGAAAATTGGATACACTAGTAATCTCTCTCCTTCAAGATTCCAAAGTGCTCCTTCTATATTCTCTCCGACATAAGGTTTGATAGAACCTGGAGAGGGCTCCAAGTGCTAATGCATTAAACAATGGTCCAGTGGGTCCCAAGTCCTAATCCTGTCTTATGTCACCACATAGATGGAAAAAGTGGTGGTAGCTCTTTCCATGGTATGCCTGAATTTGAGTACTTCCAATATCAAGGGCTGGGCTGGGCTGGGCTCATGCTAAATGGCAAATCTGTTTATTTTTGCTCTCACATTAAAAAGCAACATGGAGTAGATTTTTGCAATTATTATATCAAAAATATTAAGTATACCTTTCCATGCATATTATTTTTCAAAGTTACACTTGGCTAAAAATGATTGGATTGGATTTGGATTAGTTACCAATATGATGATTTTATAATTTTTTTTTTTTGTTTAATGCCCTATTTTACGGTGTTTGCAGTTGACATGGAATCAACTCAAACTTGGGCTAATACAGTATTGTATGAATAACATAGGCAGGCACGTGTCACAATTAAGCATCCCATGCATGTCTCGTTGTTCCACGATATAAAAGGCATGATCATGTATCACATGTAAGGGATTACGCAGAAGAATGCAAAAGAATAGGTTGAAGCATAGGATGTTGATTGTATGCACAAATCTTCTTGTTGTGGAGCTAAGGGTGAGATTGAATCCATGTTACCAGAATATCTTGCATGGTATGCATCAATTAGTAGACCTGGAATCCACCCTCCTAATGGCGGAGTTGATAACTTATAGTGTGGACTTGGTGAAATAGAAGTGAGCTCTCATTCTGTTATTCTACGTCTCCCATGAAGGATATATACAGTATTAATCTTACCTTTATTAAGTTGACAAAAAGCAACAAGTTATTAAAGAAAATTGAAGTAATTTTATAATTTTGTTATAACTTATAGCATCAACCGAAATATCAATACAATCTTGTGTAATATAATGAAAAAAGAATTTACGGTATTAATCATATTGTATTAGTGAATATAGATAGCATCAATTCTTTAAATGTTTTGTTGTAGGTGGATCAAAGAAATGTAGCTTGTTTCTCTCCTGGACCGATGGCGGCTTATGTACCTTCTAAAATGCCTCATTGACCGAAGAGCCAAGCTAGCGCAATAAGCAACAAAACTTGCACGAAGGGCGTTTTCTTCTCTGCCCTCTCCTCTACACAAGGATTTACAAAACACACTGCCCCTGCCTTTGATTTACAAAAAGGAGATGAAATTTTTTATCTGTAACCAACTTGTTTATAGAGCTCCAACAACTCATTTTTCCCTTAATTTTATGAAAAAAAAATAAATAAATAAACTGGATTTGTAGTGCTAAGGAGGAGAGTTGTTGATAATCCTTGCGGCGTTTCTCTCTTGCCAGATAGATACACTAAAACCTTTTATGTTGTATTTTCTGTGATGATCGGCCACCAGAATGCCGACGAATGACACTCTCATTCCGACCAGATACTCGCTCATCTTCCTTCTTTTCATCTATGTCGTTTCCGTTTACTGTGGGCTTAACCCTCAGCTTTATTGATTCACTTTGAATGTCATAATGAAGTGAATTTAGCTTTGTATTGTCCTAATTAAGTTAATATATAAATTTCTCAAACTACCCTTGTAGTTTAATTAACTGTATTTCTACTGTTTGAAAATTAACTCTGGCAATTGACTAATTCTACCCAAAATACTCTTCCCACCTCCATTCCCAAAATACCCTACCCCTACTCCTACTCCTACTCTTTATTAGTATTCTCCTCCTAGAGACTACTACTAGACGGAACGAAATGTGAGGAATCTGCACATTTCGAAAATTTAAAGATTGTATTGAGAGGTCTGGTTGTATGCAATTTCGAAAATTTTAGATGATACAACGGAGAATCGAGTCAACTCAGATTGTTATCAATCTAAGGCACATACTACATGTATGAAGGACCTCTTGCGGTAGTTTCTCAGAGATGTGAACCACACAAACTCAATGGAAGAGAAAAAAAAAATTTAAAACCTTAAAAGAAGTAATACAGAAGCCACAGAAATAACCACAAATTCCTTCGATCTGCCGCTGCAAGTCTCTCTGTCTCTCTTTCGTTCGTCTCTCAGAGCTCGAACTTTAGGTAGCCATCCTTCATCTCCCCTCCCCTCTGCAGATGAATCCCCTTCCCTCTGCTTGAAGCAGATCTGGGAGTTACAGATCAATATCACATTGGCGTTGGATTGTATATTGCCCACATCTAGGAGTTGCAGATGCCATTTGATAGATCATCTGAGATCTAGGAGTTGCAGATGCCATTTAACCAGACGCAGATGCAGCGGACGAGCACCGCTAACTGGTTCCCTGGCAGCTAACGGAAACCATACTTGGTATGTCACAGACGCTAGCGGACGAGCACCGCCAACTGGGTTTGTATTTGTACTCTCTTTCTCCCAGGGGTCGAGAGCACTGACCTACTTCCTTCCATGTCTCTCTTTCTCCCTTTCTCAAATGCTACCAAACTCATGCAGCCCCACTTCGAACAAGCCCTTCAGAGTCTTCCAACTGTTAACTGCATAGTCTCCAATGGCTTCCTCTCAGTTGGACTCTGCAGTCAGCGTCCAAATTTGGTATCCCCAGGCTCGTATTCTACGGTATGAGCAATTATGCCCTGATCCTCAATCGCCTCGTGCGTCGGGATCGTCCAACTATGGTTTCCATTAGATCGTTATATCGTCCAGCTAGCTGTCAGGGAGCTTGGACGCAGATGCAGCGGGATGATGGCAAGCGGTGTATCGATGATTCAGTTATTCTTTAAAAGGTAGAGGAGTAGGTAGGGTCCGCGGTCCGCAGTCCGCTAACATTGCAGCGGAATAGCTGAGACCTGAGACCCATGAACTTACTTAAAGGGTAAAGTTGTCTTTTTATTTTTTTGTTGACGGAAAATTAAAGGAGTCAGTAAGAAAGGTATTAGTTAATTGTCAAAAACAAGTGTTAGTCAATTTTCAAACAGTAAAGTTACATTTAATTAATTCACTAAATCATTAGGATAGTTCTATTGAAAACGGTGAATTGCATTGGAGATTCATATTGATTTTCATTTTCTATTTTGAATTTATTATTTTTTCGTATTGAGTTTAGGAATACAAGGAAATCCCAAGAAAAGAAGTTTAATACTACGACAGTTGTTCTTGACAATCTGAATCATGTTATATAATTCATAATGCGAATAGCAGCTTTCGATCCAAAGTGTAAGTGCTTGCGTAGTTTATGCCTCGCAATACAACTCTAACTAACTGTCTATGCTTAACGATTACATTTGTCACTTATGTGAAGACTTCTTTCCCTATATATATATATATATATATGTATATATTCTCCGTTCTCTATTGTAAAATTTAGTATAATACTATTAATAGTATTATGATATTATATGATAAAATTAATTATAATACTAAAATAATAATACAATAATATTATATATTAATATAGTATAATAGTATAATATTATGATATGACAATATTATACTATTAGTATAATAATATACTAATGTAATAATAGTATAATATTATAATATTAGTATAATAGTACTAATATATTAGTATATTAATATAATATATTATATTAATATAGTATACTAGTATACTATATAATATATTATCAGTATATTATTATACTAATAATAATAGTATTATTGGCATAATAATACTATTATAATATTATTATATTAATATACTATTAATATATAATATTATAATTACTATTATAATAGTATAATAGTATAATATTATAATAATATATTATTATATTATAGTATATAATATTAGTATATACTAATAGTATATAATATAATATTATAATAAAAATATTATACAATTATAATATATTATATAATACTAATATTATAGTATATATTATATACTATATTATTATATTATAATAGTATAATAGTATTATAATATACTAATATTAAGTATTACTATTATATTATATTACTAGTATACTAATTTAATAGCTTTATTATAGTATATACTAATAATATACTATTATAGTATACTATAGTATATTATACTAATATTAGTACAATATTATGAGTATACTAATCTACTAATACTATTTGTGTATTAGTATATACCTGCGATCCGTATTTCATGCTAAATTTGATCAAGTCAACATTTCTAAATCAGTAATCCATCGTGCCATCTAATCACACACAACACATTCTCTCTCTCCCCCTCCCTCACCTCTATTTATTTCCTTCTGCTTATTCAAACCCAGAGGCAGCAGGAAGAGAAGAGAAGAGAAGAGAAGAGCTCGCTACGCAGAAGAAAACACAAAATCCAAGAGAGAAGGAGAACGATAAGAAGAGAGAAAAATGTCGTGGCAAACTTACGTYGATGACCACCTCATGTGCGACATTGAGGGCAATCACCTTACCGCTGCAGCCATCATCGGTCACGACGGTAGCGTATGGGCCCAGAGCAGTTCATTCCCTAAGGTTTATTTACGAATCCCCATTTCTTCTTCTCTGTCATTGTCATTTCTATACGATCTAATCCGACTCCGATTGGTTACAAGGTTTCCTACCACTTTTAGAGAAGCAATTGAAACATGATGATTGTTCTTTGCTTCAAYTCTGTTGTTGTATATTTGATTACCAATCAAGTAAACGTGCATCATTTTCTTGAGTAGAAGGGCAGTCTAGTAGGCATTTTTTTTTTCCATTTTAAATTTCAATTGGGTGATTCTTCTCCCAAAATGTCATCGTTATTTCGTGTAGAAATTTCTAACAATGCAGAAATGGGTGTTCTTTTTGTTGCATATTTTTAGTTTGAGACCGAGGAGATTAATAGCATTATGAAAGATTTTGCTGAACCAGGCTACCTTGCCCCAACTGGCTTATTTCTTGGGGGCACAAAGTACATGGTAATCCAAGGAGAGCATGGAGCTGTCATCCGTGGGAAGAAGGTGATTTGATGTTTACTTTCTTCCTTCTTTAACACTGTCTGCCTTTAAATCTTTCATAAAAAACTGAACTTTGATACAGAGGACACTTGTAAATTCTCTTAATTAGACTGTTGTCAAGAAAGATTCATCAACTCCTGTTTAATACTTGTGTATTTAATTTTGCAGGGATCTGGTGGCATCACCATAAAGAAGACCAATCAAGCTCTAATTTTTGGTGTCTATGAGGAGCCCGTGACTCCAGGACAGTGCAACATGGTTGTTGAGAGGTTGGGGGATTACCTCATTGAACAGGGCCTGTAGGTCTCCATATCAAGACTCAAGAGTCTCTCCCTTGTCTTTGTTTTTTTTTTTTCTTTTTTCCCCCATTTTTATGTAATTCTTTTTCATTTTTGCGTCCTCCCTCCCCATGAAGTGGCAATGGAGATGGTGTAGATAATAATTGTTTGAGGACGGTAACAGTCATTTGGAGTCTTAGGGGTCATCATCTTTTATTTTCATGTCTACCATATCTTCTGAATTTTGTTGTTGGTCATTGGGTTCTTTTTAATGGCCCTACAATATCAATTCCCAATTTTAAACTGTTTTTGATGAATCATGATCTATTAATCACCTGGAATTAGTACCAACAGTTATATTCTAGCAATTTAAACTGGTTTTGATGAACCATGATCTACTAATCATCTGGAATCAATGGTGGTGGAAATGTTGACGGTGTTGTTTTGTGGTTAATACTTAATAGCCACTCTATCACTTCTTTCTATCTGGCGGACTGGGTGTCAAGTACTTAAAAATAAACTCTCTTTCTCTTATAGTCTTATGCTACACATATAGAAAAGAGTAGTAGTATGTTTCTTCATTCAATCAAAGATCACCTTTTTAGTTTGGCATTAGCTTCAGCTTTACCACCTTCTGGGTTGGTTTTTGCTTTGGATCCCCTTCTCATTACCAACTCCAGTAACGCCTTTGGATGAAATTGGTGCTCCTGTGTTCATAATTAGTTTCTTAAAGCGAGCAGGAACCGAGGGAATTATCACTGGACTGACATATATTTCAATAGCAGTAAGGTTTTGGCATCACCATCACTCGATGTCCTCCTCTTTCAGAAGGCTATAGGCGTATAACAGACTCTTTGGTGGGAGGAATTCAGCAGTGTATGTTGATTGGAGAATTGTAATCCCAACAGTCGTTAACAGGGATATAAGTAAATATTTACGAGTATTACTCCCAACATGGGTTTGCCGTTTCSGATTGTTTTCATGTATAATAAATACAATTGAAAACATGGATTTTCCATTAAGTAACCACATTGCGATAATAATTTTTTTTTCTACATAATTACTATTAAGTTTTCAAGAAAAAC